TATATATATATATATGTGTGTGTGTGTGTGTGTGTGTATATATATATATATATATATATATATATATATATATATATATGTATATGGGACAGTACACTTACGTAATTCTTTTAACATTAATCATAATGTTTAATATAATGTAATTTATACGAGATGAATTATTCACATCGCAAATTTAGAACACGTTAGTTTTATTTTCTCACAGCATATTTGAATTCATAATGAACACGAATTCTATGGAAATATTGCATACATGTAACTGCATTTGCTGTATGCTGTCTTTATTCACTTGTTCGATAAAATAAATTATCAAAAATGACAATATATTTTATATTATTATTTATATCAGTTTATTAGTATTATTTGCCTATAACTTGAAATATTTATAAAATTTATATTAGATGTTATATTAGTTTTTAACTTACAATTTTTTTCGTAAAAAAGATCTTATTATATTATTATTTATTTAATAGATATCGTGAATTAATATAATTAATCGATTATAATGGAAAAAAATAAATAAAATTAAAATAATGTTGCAGTAATAAGTAAATATAAATAATCCATGGTAAATCTTATTTTTATTGATGATTATTAATTTTTTCAACTTTTCTCTAAATATGGCTATAACTTTTTAATGTATTTTTATGTGTTTATTATGATATTTTTTATGGTGTAATATACAATGATGTAATATACATTAATAGAAAGGAGTGCCAATGTGGAATCCTAAGTTTTATACAGCATTAAACGAAAGAGCCATGGAAGAAATTTTTCGAGGTGACAAAGGAATTACTATTCCATATTTAGTTGAAAAGATGACGATTTTGCACGATATTGGAACAATTTTATTAGACAAATATAAAGGTATAAAAATATCATATGACAAAATTTTATAAATGCAAAAAATTTTTATTCTTTTGTATTTTCACATATAAGAATTAACGTTTTTATTTATATATTGAATTTATTTATGCATGTAATTCATGCAGGATCGATTTTTCTCTTCTTTCTACAGAGAGGACAAAAAATTCTGTGTGTATGTGTGTGTATATTTAACATATGTAAATAAGATGTATAATAAGTATAAAATGTTAAAACAAAAATAATAGAAAGATGAGTTAAAATTTAGGCTTTCTATTGTTGAAGTTTTTTTTCAAAAGAAAAGAAATAAATGATTTATAAATTGACTTATAAAGAAAATCAATATTTTTCAAATTTTATTACTGGATGACTTAAAATAAATCAGTAACTCTGAATAGATGTTATTAAAAAAAGAAAATATAATATGTGAATTAATTGACAATAATGATGAGATTCCGTTATGTCATAGGTACTTTTATAAATTGTATTAGATCGTGTCAACGTAATCCATTGCAATTGGTTATCACACTTTTCAATGACTTTGAACCGTATCATGAAAAAGAAATATATAATGAAAAAAACGGTATGTATTCTTAATTTTTATGATAAAAGATATATCACATTAGAGAGATCATGAAATTAAAATATAAAATTACACGAATCTATAATTTCGAGCGCAATTTGAAAAGATTTTGAGCCAAAATATTTTGTATAAACTTTATACAATTGATAAATTTCTTTAATAACAATATGTCATATTTATGGCACAGTTATTACAGTTTACTAATATAATGCATTTTTCAAAATTTTCTTCTAGTTTTTCTGTATACTAAGGCTTGGATAATGGTAAATGATGTATGGGCTTTTTTTAAGAATCATCAGTTGGGTCTTGATATGAAGATACAAAAAATACCTACGATATATGTTGATTATCGTGTTTCCCGAATTTTTATTTATTTTAAGGTTCTTCGATATAGTAAAAGGCTTATAGATAAAATCAAAGAAACCGGTAAGTTGTTATTTGCTTGCTTGTCAACAATATATTTTTATTTCGCCATGAATTTCTATTCTCTAAATATTGTGTTTAATAAATATAAAAGTAATATCTTTTTGACAGGCACATTTCTATTATTTTTATTCAAAAAATGCTATAATTAACAGGTTTAGGCTATATAAAGTAATTATTTTTTACAAAAGTATGTCATCTTTTTTATCTGTTTTGTTAATTTTTTTATAATAAAAAGATTTATTTGGATTGTTATAATTCCTCTATCTAACATTCTATTTAATTTATTTTTATAATTTTCGTTATTATAATTACTTCATTTATTTCTCTCGATATATTACAGAAAAATTTCTGTGGAAGATATTTTTAGGTCTTTCTCCTAGTTTATAATTTTGAAGAAATAAATATATATAATTTATCGTATTTTTGTTGCATCGTATCAAAATGCATTGTTTTCTTCTGCAGACGAAGACTTTTCTTTGGATACTTTGCGCGGAAGTAAAGAGGAAATAGAAATACGCAGTTCCTCAATTTTCCTAGCAAATTTGCTAAATAAAAGGCTACAATCTCGACATGGAAAATTTGATAAAGAAAAAGGACAATATTGCGATTCAACTTTTGATTATTCGTGTATAATTGACAATTTCTTCTGGGATTATCAGCAAGTAAACGACGCGCAATTGAAGAAAGTCGAATTATGCGATGTTTCTACTGGACATTATTATTACAAATGATCGCCATAAATGATCGCGTTCCGAATGATTTCTTGACTTTTTTATATCTCTATATTTTTATATAATGTATTTTATGACGTATTTTTAAAATAATTAAAAGGAAATGTAACGATTTTTTTTCTTTTAACAATATGATATGAACCAAATTTTTTATTACACAAGTGCTTAATAAATATGAAATAAAAAAATAGCAATTAATAGTACTCTAATTTTTTAGAATTTTGTTATCTATTAAACTTTGACGGGAAAAAATTGGACATTGTTCCTGCATTTACCACGTGACGCAACTCGACGATTGTCGAATTCAAGAAAATTTTTCTTATCTTATTACATTTGTATGAGTGATTAATATTTTAAATATTTTACAATAAAGCATTTTGTGTTCTTCTTAATTATACTTTCCACTTAATTATAAAACACTTTCTCATTAAATCATAATGGAAAAATTATTATTCTTCTCAATAGATAATATGCAAGACATTTCATTTCTTTAAAACTCCTGCAAGACAAGAACTTTATATCATTAGATTGTGTTTATTTTTATTTTCTATTACAAACAGGAGAGACAAACGCGGTCAGAGTAATCACAGTCGACAGTTTGAAATAATCGGTTTAACATATCGTAACGATATGGGTACATTTACTGAACTTCCGATGTTGTGCGTGGAAGAGGAAATTATTGCTAAAACATCACGAAATGTGTTTATCGATTATGATGGAGTGAAGAATTTAGCCAGGGAGGTTTGTTTCTTTTTTTCTCTATAGAAAATTTTAAGGACAGAAATAAAAAAAAAGAAGCAGAGAGAGAGAGAGAGAGAGAGAGAGAGAGAGAGAGAAGAAAGAATAAAGAAAAAGAAGAAGTAAATTTAATATTCAATAAAATGCTTAATCTTGGAATTTTGATTTTGTTCAATTCCATTCGGAAAATGGCTGAAAATCGTAAAAAAATAGAATCACTAAGAAAACGTAGAACGAAATCAATGTTTATTTAACAAATTGAATACAATTTTGCAGTTTGTTTTATTTTATAACAAATACTATTAAACGATATTCTTTTCGAAGGTAATACGTTTTATGTTATGGAATTACAATCATGACATGCTTTCTAAAGTGGGAAATAATTATTTACGGCATTTACTTCGTTTTTATCCTGATAATGACGACTATAGATGTGCGGATTGGCTATTCGTATTAAATACATTGAACTTTTCACTCTTTCTTCCAAAGTCTGTTAAACAGTGGACAGTTAATGGATTTACAGGATACTGGGCATTGTGCTCGGCTATGAGAAGAGCAATTATCGATGTAAGCATGAAATTAATTCTTCATTTTTTTCATCTTTAAATCGCACTTATAAAAATAATCACATTCATCTAATTTATGGAAGTTTCAATATGCCTTGAGATACACTATTAGCATAATTTATATAAATAGCTTTATTTTTTTTAAATATTAATATATTTCTTCTTTTAATTCTTTATTTTATAATCATTCAACGCAGCTATTACTAATAATAAATACTTTGATAGATTTTGTTTGCACAATTCTTAAAATTTTATTGATTAATTTATTTTATCAATTTACAGTAATTTTTCTTCTTTAATGATTTCTGTTTCCCAAACAATTTATAATTCTATTTCCTTGCTTAATTCTCGCAATAGGAAGGAAAGCCTTTATGGAATCCTGATTATTACATGAATATAAGCGTAAGTGACATGGAACAAATTTTCCGAGGTGACGATGGCTCTTGTATTCCTTTTATGACAGACAGACTTAGGATTTTGCATGACATCGGAAAAATTTTAGTGAACAAATATAACGGTATGAATTATTAAGAAAAAAAACGTATATGAAAAGAAAAATGCATTTCCCAAATGTTTACATGCATGATTTTGAATATTTTTGTTTACTTCTATAAGTCATTCTTTTCCGATTATTAATAATCCTGATTATTCAGCCTGATTATTCAATTATTCATTCCTGATTATTCCTTAATAAATAATGTAATAAATAAATATAGTTAGTTATAACGGAAGAGTCAAATATTAGATAATAAAATTTTACTGTTATAGGTAGGTTTGCATACTGTATTGTAATGTGTAATTATAATGTAATGCTCTTGATGCTCCTGCTTACGAGTGAATTTCAATGTTACCGAGACGAGGGAATTTATAATAGAAAGAAAGGTATAAAATTATTGCCATTTGTTTTATATATATAAAATATAAAATATTAATTCGAGCTCGAAAATTATATTACATTACAAAACCAGATTAGTACGCTTAAGATAATACAATCTTAAATCGTAATTAAATTATTTAAATAATGTACATTAAAAACATTTAAATAAGTGTTCTTTTTATTTTCTTTTTCAGTTTGCTTACTTACGAAGGCTAAGATACTGATAAATGAGCTGTCTTGTTTCTTTCCAATTAATATGACATTACGTTCCAAAGTGTCTACGTTGTTTATCGATTATCGTGCTCCTCAAGTTCTCGTTCACTTTAAAGCACTTCGCTATAGCGAAGCTCTCAAAAAGAGATTCGAGAAAAATAGTAAGATTAGCTTTTTGCGAATAGTAAATCTCCCATTTTTTTTTTTAATACTTGCTTTATAGACTTCATGCCTGATGAATGAAAATAGAATACTCTTCTGATATTTATTTTGTTTAAATTATCATGACGCAGCCTAACATTAAATTTTAAATAAAAATAATCTTCTTCGCAATAGATCTTCACCTTATCCTTCTTCATGATTTATTTAAAGCAAAAGTAAAATTATATTTATGGTGACAATTTATATATTGATTAATAGCTTTTATTTAGAGAATTTTTTTCATTCGAATTACTTTTTATAAGGAGGATTTGCCATCTTGTCAATAAATCATGAATAAAGTCATGATTTTCTTTTTCATGCAGATCAACCAATATCTCAAGGAAGTCCAGAAGATCTGGAATTACGCAGTTGTTCGATTGTAACAATTCGAATGGTACGCGAAGAGGTGGAAAAGATGTTTGAGTCTGTCGCGGAAGATATACCCAACTTGAAGGCAATATCACATAGCATTTCAATATTGGTTGATAATTTCGTGTTTCATTATCGACACGAATGGAACAAAGAATTGATGGATAACGTACCGCTTCATAATATCATAACTGTACATTATTAGAACTACATTATTAGAACTCCTCAGTAAAAAGTTTTCCATATATATTTAGAAATATAATAAGATATAATTATATATAAGACGTTGCGTATTATAAAATATGTCCTTATATAAAAATGTATAGTTATATATGAAGTGGTAGTACACATTTATATGTGATTATATATAAATATATACGAATATGATTATAATGATTATACTATAATGATTTATATACATGATTATTCATAAAAATATGTATTAATGTATAATTATACATATTCACATATAATTGTATATTTTTATACATGGACATATTCGATATATGATTACATATGGAAAATTTTTTAATAGGTCATTACTGTATCATCATGAGATGATGGGTGATTCTATAATGTATGCAGAACTACAACTATTTTTGTGAAAAATTACCTTCGTGAATGGTATATTTTTTATTATCAAGATATTTTTCGATAATAAAAAATTAATTAATTAAAAAGCCGGCAAAATTCAATTCTTATTTTATACGGCGACAGATTTTTTTAGATAAATTCATCCTTTAGTGTCCCGTTGTGAATAGAATCGAAATAAATATTTTTAACAAGAAATCGTAAAAACGATTTAAAGAAAGTTGCTTTTAAATATTTAATATTTAGTAGATTCTGAAAGGGCAATCATTCATTATTAAATGTTGCATGAGATTAAACACCGAATTACCTATATTGTATATTGTATATTGTATGTGAAATACCGAAATTGTGATTATATTTAAATAAATTATCAGCAATGATAAGCCTTTTGTATTTTTATCATATTTTTAGACAATTTTATTATTTTCGTCCCACACAGTTTTCGAAGTTTATTTTTCTACAAAACATATTCCGTCTCTATCAAATTTCTTTAAAACATAAAATACTGGCAATCTGCGATAAAGCAGAATTTCAAGAAAAAACTCTGAGAAAAAATTAAATTTTTATTAAAAATATAAAATGAGTAATAATATAAAAATAAAATTTTTATTTACAAAACAACTAATCTCTACATCGTAATAAAATCTTAACGTAAATTTTAAGTACTTTAAGTATTTATATAAAAAAATTGAGATTTTTGTCATTATTTTTTAATTACATTGCTATTAGAATACACTTCTACTTATTTATTTAAATAATTTTTCATTCAGATTCTAAACTATCGATAAACTTTTATATTGTCCTTAAATACAACTTAGAATAATCTGTAAACTTTTTCATTGTAGATACAAAAATCAAAAATAGATCAGGGATGTGATACATCCCTGAATACCAAATTTTGTCTAGTTCTAAGTACAGAAGGTGTAACGCAGTTCAGTGGTGAGGGTGGTGGACGAATCCCAAGTCAGAGGTTAGACGGGAAGGATGCGGAACAATGAGACATCGGCACGTGTGTCGCGCTCATTCGACAATCCCGGCGGACACGATAAGGAAATTACGAATTGTTTGTTACAAGCGGTATATACACGTCTCTTCTCTATCATCCAATGAAAAAGGCTCATAAAGATTCTAGAAAAGGGCAGCGTCCCAAAACAATCACTTCGTCACTCCTCGTCACTTGAGCGGATGTTTCCGGTGGATACGAGCAGTCCAAAATCCGAAGTAGTTCATGCACCTTGTGGCTGCAAGAAATATCATTCTCTTCATTTCGAGTGGATCGACGAAACGCAAACATCATGTCACTCGGAAAAGATGCAGATATAATATTGAATATGGTGTTGGCAGAGAGAGAGATCGTTTTTAGGCCACGTGATGTGTATATCGTCGAGAAACGCATGCGACGACTGGTGTTACGCGTAAGTTCTTTCTTCATAAAATTGTTTTGTAAAATTCCAGGACGACCCGCGACACGATTTTCACAATTCGCGAGGGTCGTGAAGAATCTCAATTTTTTTTCAGGCTCCCACGATTAGGGGATCGATTGTATATTTTGAAACAAAAATATTATAAAAATGAGGAGATTTATCTGCGACTCCATATGTCGAAAATTAGTAAATTTTTTCTTTTGCAATTTTCACCTCGTTTCAAGATATACGATCCAACCCTTAGGTGGAATTGTGAGTTGGTGGTCTCGAGAGTCGAATATTCGAATATCGCGATACGATTCCACTTGATTTTATAATTACAAGAGAAAGAAATATAGATTCGCGTTGAACAAAAGTTTCTTTTCTTTATTTGCCATGTGTCTCATCGATAATCTTGGATGAAAAGACATACTCGAGAAGGCAGAGAAGTGTTATTAATTTTTCTATGTTTCAATTGAATTTTTTTTTTTAAGAAATGCAAATTTGACGCTAATAATTTTTTATTGTACGTGTTCCTTTTTTTTATACGCAATCTTTGTTAGGATTGCTGATAGAATGACTAATCGTTTTGTATTGCGCAGGACATTCCAATTTTCGACTCTAACAAAGAGACGAAAAAACTCTAGACGAGATGCCACGTGTCTCCTAATTATCACATAAGATTTTTAGATACAATAGAAGAAATATTAGGAACAGAAATAAATATTAAATTTTGAAAATAAAAATTAGAAAGAAAAATTAAACATAATGCACAAGTGAATATATACAAATGAATATACACAGGAATAGTGAATAAATATAAGATTGTACGTTATATTACTCCGAATTTTTATTTCCAAAATTTAATATTTATTTTTGTTCCTAATATAATTTTATTTTTGCATTATGCGCAGAGCCTAATGTAAAATAAATATAAAATATAATAAATAAAAAAATCTACACAAGCTCGTTCTGAGGAGAAAGAATAAATATTTCTTATTAATTTATATTTAAATAATCTATATCTTGATAGCCAAAGAATCAAATCTTTATGAATCTGTTTATCAATTTGAGTCTAAACAATATATTAAATAAAAAGGGGAAACTAATAAGAAACTAGTTTTCCGAATTAGTTAAAATTTATTTGGCTATAGAATTTGCAAACAAATTCACAGCAGGAAATATTATTAGGCAAAACAAGTTATGAGCAATCTGGACTTATTAAATCAAATTGAATTTCCTTGATTAAAATTAAGAGTATTTAATCAAATTTAATTAATTTTAGATTTTCCTTGTTTTTAAAAATCTAAATAAAATAAGATAATATATTTTAAAAATAAATATATTTTAGATAATTTAGATAATTTGGATATTTTAGTAAAATAATATATTTTGACTAATAATTATATCCTGGATAATTTTATATTTTGGATAATTGACATATTAAATACCAATATTTATAATCCTAGTATTAATCATATCATCAATATCCTTTAGATATTCCGAATAAATAATCCTTCATAATCATCCTTCCTTCCTAAAAGATAAAAGCCAAAAATTTTGTTAAATAATATGCAGTATCGAAAAATGTAAATAAAATTTCTCTGACTGTTCCTTACATTGCCGTTTTCATTGCGAAAGAAACATTTAAGATAAAATATCTTAAATGATCTGCGTAGGTGATACAATTTGCAATGCAGAATTCGAAGAAGCCCTCTTTGAATATTCTTTCAAACAATTTTTTGCGAAGTATTGTTCAACTTAGCTGTCCGCTTAACTTCGAGAATATGACGAATTGGCTGTTCGTGTTATACACATTGAACTTTTCGCTCTGGTATCCGAAAAGCACTAAACAATGGCAAGTTAGAGGTTTTACTGGATTTTACGGATTAGGTGTTGCTCTGAAGAGGGCCGTTCTAGTAAGTATTTCATTTTTCAGCAATCTTAAATGCTATTTAAAAAAATTTTTTTTTATTGATATCGATCCTGGAATGCTATCGATATAATTCATGTATTAATGTCGAAATGTTTATTAGTTTGTAAACGACATCGTTTTTGAACATTGACATTACTAACGCATTAATTGTCTCTGCCTTCGTATTTTCGTACGCATCACCGCCGATGTACATTTTGTAATTTCTCTTCTGTGTTCACAATCCTTTCTTATCCGCTGTTTTACTTCATCACGGTTCGTGTTTGTAATTCAGAAAATTTCACTGTCATCGTACAATGTTATAATAATCCATTAATATAGTATATTATACAATACAATACTATTATAATAATATAATAGTATTGTGTACATTAATTTGAATTGGAAATTCTATTATGAAAATTTTAAAGTTGCGATTATTTGCGAGTTATACATTTATATGTCAGATTTTTTTTTTTAAATACGGAATGTCATTCTATCCAAACAATATATTAAAGGAAAATAAATATTTTTCTCTATGATTTTTTAAATTGATTTTATCGATTTTTTTCATGATTTTTTTATCATTTATTATTCAATAGTTACTTTTGCTAATGATTTTTTTCATGATTTGTTTCTTTTTTCTTTTAGTTGTTAAAATATTGTGTCAAATTATTTATAAGACTATTTTATAATTTCATATAAATTGTTAATTGGAGAAACAGAGAATAACTTATCGCACAACTTACCACACAACACTTATCATATTCTTGTTTGATTTATTTTTTATTTAACATATGATCTCGAAATGTCAAATGTTATAGATAAGAAGCATATTTAGTATTTTATTATATATATAGAGTAATCTCTTTTTATGCATTAATATGATATTTACGCGACCCTTTTATTATAATTTTAATTCATTTAGAGAGATGAATTATTATCATAAATTTAAAAATATAAACCTCTTTTAATATTTCCATTTATAATCCTGCATGAATGAACAGATATTGGAATGTTATTTGGTATTTATTTGCATGTTTGTAAAGTATAAAAACAATATTTAAAATACTCATAATGTAAAATATTTATAAAATTCATATTTATTAATTCATATTAAACAATTTATCTTATTTTTTAATACGTTTATATATAATTTTTTGGAATTCAAATTTTTTTTCAGTAAATGAAAATATTCTTATGGACAATGTAAAGTAAACTTAAAGAATTTCAAAATTATATAAATTATTTTAATTTTATTGATTAAACATCTCAAATTAAGATATTTAATAGTTATAATAATGTAGGTCCATGATCTTATATTATACGTCATTGATTTTTTAAATTTATTCTAAATGTTTGTAACTATTTGACACGTTTTTAATGCAATATGTAATGTGTTATCATAGGAAGGAATAAAGATATGGGATCCTGTGTATTATACACGTATAACTGAAGACGAAATGAAATATATTTTCCGAAGTGATAATGGAATTGAGATTCCATTTTTAAACAAACGACGTAACATTTTGCACCAAGTTGGAAGTGTTTTATTACAAAAATATGAAGGTAAATTATTATCAAAAAATTTATAACACTCGCATAAAAAAAGAATTTATATTAAATATTTACATGACAGATTTTTCTATATTATATAATTATTTTATTATATAATTAATTTAGAATCGATTTTCTTTTGTCTTAAAAAAATATATCGAATTATACGGATAACTAGTCTTTAGTCTTTAGTGAATTAATGAAATGTTATGTATATTTGTTTTGTAATAGGTACTTTTGCAAATTGTATCGATTTGTGTGAGGGCAATTCAACTGATTTGATAAAATTACTTGCCAAAGAATTCGAAACGTATAGAGATGTGGGGGAATACAAATACATGGAAGGTATTTATTGCTAAGTATTATTGATATAAGCGAGGGCGAGCGTGGTATAACAGACAGCGCACTGGTTTAATATGCCGGAGTTTGCTCCCGGATTTGATTTTCTGGCAGAGCCATAATATTTATACTCTCCTCTCGGAAGGCAAACCACTGAGAATAACTTCGCTATGAGCGAAAAATCCAAAAATTTGCGTCCAAAAGTTCGAAACCGGCGTTAAACTGTGATCCCATATAGAACTAGAAAAATTATTGATACACAATACTGTCACAATATGTCCAAAAGTCACTCGCAAGATTAAAAAATTCATTTGCATATTTCGATAAAATTTTAAGTTGAGATTAAATATCTTGGCTTCCTTGAAAGCCTGCACATGAACGTCATCTTCGTGCATTACGCTCGTTGGTTGGTCACAATCCTTCTGCGCTGAGCGGCACGACCGTGCCTCTAACATCCTTGGAACCATATCTTGTTCAAGAAATCGAATTATAGACTCCGATGAAAAATAATGAATATCTGCGAATTGATATAAACTCGAAAAATCCAAATACAACCCAGGATAGTCGTAAGCCAGCTTCTCTCTACTTCCGTTAATATAAAATAATCTTATAATCTTGGCTTAACTTAACATTTGCTTACTCTCGGTGATTTGCCATTGCTTTCCGAGAGGAGACGAGTGTAAATATTTTGGCTCTAGAATCGAACCTTCTGGCATATTAGTGCACTGTCTAATCTACTCTGCCTCGCTCTCGAATCTGGATATAATTATCAACAAAAATATAATACCGCAAGAAACTATTCTAAATAAGAGCACGAAATTTATCGTAATATTTTTAACATCCTTTCTATTTCCCGTAAAGATGTTTGTTGTTTGACAACTGCACAATTGATCATTCCTATAGTTAATTAACATATAAGACGTATCGAGTATTTAGTACTAAATTTAGTTATTTTTATTTTTTTATTTTTTTTTAAATGAATTTTTTTTTCAGTTTGTTTTTATACTAAAGCTATGCTATTAGTAAGCCACATTTGGGAACATTATAGAGGTAAAAAGCATAGACCGATACTTGATCTACAAACAATGGCATCTGTGATATTTTGTGATTATCGCGTTCCCCAAGTTTTTCTTAATCTCGGTATCATTCGTTATAGTCCATTTCTCATAGAAAAATTCGAACAAAACGGTAAGACATTTATCAAGCGTTTTTATATTAAGCGGCAAATCCTCCGTTCTTTAGTATTTTATGAATTTCGTATTTAGTAAATAGAAATAAAATTTCATTTCAATAGATATTGCTACAATAAACGCAGCAATAGTATTTAAGTATGTATTTAATCTATATTTAAAATTATAAAAACATTTTTCGCTGATTAATTTCATGGAGGATTTGTCGTGTTTTTAGCGAGTCTAATAGTAGGACGCATTTGCGTTTTCCCACAGTTCCGCTGAATTCCGGAAGCCCAGAGGATTTAGAGATACGCGGATCCCTGCTTTGGATAATAAAAAGGGTGTATCAGGAAACAGAATTGATGATCAAGAAACATCTTCATTTAAAACCGTCACTAAGTGAGATATTACAATATGTCCCATTTTTAGTTAATAATTTCGTATTTGCCTATCGACGTACATTTGAGCGTGAATTGATGGAAAACACACCATTTCATAACATTATAACTGAACAATATTAGAATATCATTATACTATTAAATTCATTTGAAGTCATATTAATGCGTAAAGAACAATTGTCTTTTACAGTAGAATATTATGACAATATAATGGTAGTTTTCATTATCATTTTCATTATTTTTTATTTTTATTTCATAATATTTTTATAATAATTTAAGAATACATTGTACTCAATTCTGATCTAATTGATTGAGATAGATCTTTTAATACAAATTTTTTTTTTAAATACTGACTGATATAACTGAGCTAAACTGAGTTAAAATTAGAAATATATTTGCGCATTGTTTATAACGCTGATTTTCATTAGCTTTATTATTGCCCGTTATTGTAATATCGAGAATTTTTTTATTAATATTAAATAATTATTACAATTAATCTGTTTATATACATAGTGGATGTTGAAAACAATATATTTGGACAAGATTTTTCATCAAGCTTTGTTATATATCGATTTTATATGATTCATTAAATTCATTCATTTTATGTAACAAATGTTTTTATTTTTATTATACTCTCACGGAATTTTCCGTATCATTCCAGTTTTCACAATCCACATCCAAACTTCATAACGTGTCATAACTGAATAACGTGTTTTCTCTTTTTTTCACAACATTATTTATTTACTTACAATAAACATATCTTTTAGTATTTGTAATAATATACAAAATGCCTGTAAAAATTTAAATTACATTATAAAATAATTGCTTTTTTTAATTGGCAACGCGTTAGATTAACTCTTAGACTCTTTACAATTGTACTAAACATATACACTTTAATTTTGCAGAAAAATGATAATAATATATATACACATTATTAAAAAATTTAGTTTTGTTTTCTTTTAATCTTTTTTTAAGTTTCAAAATAAGTTTTTTGAAAATAACATTCTTGTAAATTCCGCATAAATCAGGACAGAAGAGTTAACTTGACTTCTCGTCTCCAACACGATATTCGGAATATTATTCTTTGGCTATCAACGTGTCGTGACGCCATTTGGCACGAATTTCACTATCTCTATGTAAAGCTGTCTCACTTTGACCATTAGTAGAAAGATTAACTACCTTATCATGCTAACGTACAATATTCTATAGATGAATTTTTACGCTAAGGAACTATATCATTTTCTGATACAGACATTAACATATCCTTGCCACTCGCAAGAATAGCAACGCTGGCGATTTTACGAATACAAACTCCTTTTACGAATGCCTAAAGTGTAACGTTCGGTTCGACTTTGCGTAAAGTCATAATTTTACATTTCCACTCAGTTCGAAAATGCGCAAAATCTTACGTACACAAAATCATTTACAAATATACAAAATTGATTGCGATAGATTACGTTCGAAATCAACGATATGTCTCGCCTCAATTTAGAGTGATTTATCGTCATAATTCTAATTGTTGTTATCTTTTCAAGCTTGCACAATACAACTATCATATTTACACTACTTATTACTTCGACTTTGTTCTTATGGGAATTCTTATTTTAATATTTTATCGTATAAATTCGTATCGCAAATCGTGATTTCTGTTCTCACGTATATACAAAATTGATTTCGGAAGCGCAACATTTGTCTTACAAATACCAGAATACCACGAATGATTAAGTATTTATGGGAAAATATTGTTTAACTTCTTTTCTGCATTTGCTCCCAAAATATAATATTCGATTTCAGCTTGCCGGGTGAAATGACGGTGGTGTCATTAATCTCCTGTTTCGATCGCACGATTTCCGTTCGATTCGCCGGTCGTTCTTCTATCAGCGACCGGCTGACTGGTAGTGACGTCAATTTACCGGGCGTTTGACGCAATCCTTCCCGAAATTCCTTCGAAAGAGATCTGGCCGTCAAACTGTGCATCTGCCTGGGTGTTTCGATTATCTGTACGTCAGGGGTGGATCTATCTTTGACTTCATCTAATACTTTCACCATCTGCGGAACAAAAAATCGATTTGATTCAAGTTACTAATTTATATGATGCGTATGATGTCTATTAAAAATATACTATGCATTAATTATGAAAATTTTCAAAATTAGAAATATTTAAAAAAAATATATTACAGATAGAAATATTGCTGTAAGATTAATTTTATTAATATAAAAAAAAATTGATAAGAGATTTATTTAAAACTATACTTATATACTTATATTCTAATATATTATAAATATATTAGAAACTCAAACTAATATTTTTAATTTGATTTAATAATATTAATTTGTCTGATCTGGCTGACCTTGTATATTTAAGCTCATATATACTATTTAATTCGATAATATCTAATTAGATAACGAATGGTCGATAAACTTATCTGATAAATGAAGAATTCAGAGCAAGAATTGATTATATAATTTGCAAATCATTCTTTAAATCAGAGTTCATATTTAATTACATCTTTATTTTTGAGAAATACGTATATGCCATTCTTGCTCTGAACGAGCGCACGTAGGTTTGACCGATCTGCGATCGCACTGATATCTAATCTGAAGTGAAGTAGCTATTACTTTAGTTACCGAAGCTCTGAATACTTTCGCGGGCACGGCAGTTTCTATTTCGGAAGTCTGTCGTCTGCCGAACGCTTCCGCGAGTCTTTTCACCGAGGGCATCGCCCGCAACTTCTCGTCCGCCTCTCGGGACTGATCCCTGCTCCTGATATATATGTCCTCGAAAGATCTGTCGACGTCCGATGGGATTTCGTCGTAGTCGTTCAGCAGCGAGCCGTCGTCCTCGACGCCCTCCGCCGTCGCGCTATCCTCCGCGAGATCCAGCAGATTCTTGGCGGTCAGTTCGTCCTGGGTGTCGTTCACGTAAACCGGATTCGCGTAATAGCACACGTCGTCGGCGACATTCGGCATCGACTTGGCGGACGTCAGTCGCGAGTTCGCCTCTTTGATCTCCTCGTCACGCAGCTCATTCAGGCCCCTCGAACTCTTCGTGAAATTCTTGGAGCCGAGAGCCGATCTCGGCGCGTCGATCAGGTATCCTTTGTACGCGCGATGCTCGATCGCGCCCCTCATCAGGTTTGATTTCTCGACGTTCTGCAACGGTCGATCCAACTGATTGTTGGAGCGAGCGCGACGCAGGCCGTCCTGGTAGCCGAAGGTGCTCAGATCCAGTCTGTTCACCACTCTCTGCTGCCGGATAGGCTTCCTCTGCTCCGAAAACTCGTTCTCGAAGCCGTAAGCCTTCAGGTCGATCCTGCGTACCTTCCGCTCCTTGTCGTCCTTGCTCCATGTCGTCCTCTCGGCCTCGATACCGTGCTCCTGATTATTGAGCTTCGCATTGATCTCGTTCTTGCTGTTTTTCCTCTGGTTTTCCAGGATGTCATCCGTACGCTGATGGTCTTTCCATGTCGTCTCATCGGGCCCGTCTTTCTCGCCTTTGGTTTTCTGACGGTCGATGGGAGCACGCGAGTTTACGGCGCAATTATTCGTGTCGGGATTAATTACCTCGGCGTTGTTCCTGCGACATGAGACTGGCGTGTTTGTATCCTTGTCCTCTTGAAGGACCGAAATACCGTCGTCCGTCTCCTTGGACGTAGATTCTTCCTGAAACACATAAACAATCGGCTAATATTAACAATCTAACGTTAGAATCCGTTCCAAAGCAACATATTTCATGTTCACGTTGTCTTTTGAATATCTCATAATTTTTTATTTACCATTTATATACCATGAAAAATCACAGAAAAAATTCTACTTTTACTTCTGTAGCTATGATACGATTAATATTATTGTCGAATATAGTGGTAATATAAAACACAATATAAATTTATGTAAATTCATATGATTAATATAAATATAATATACATTTAATTTTTTAACGCAATAATGATAATGATATTAATAATGTACATATAATAAACAATATTTGTGCTCATCTCTAACATTAGTAAAAATTTTTATAGCATTAGAGTTAGCGCGATCTTTACTTTTTCTGTAAAGAAGTGGTTGAGACAATATTTATTAATCGTATTATGAATGTTTTCTTGCGTTTAATACATATTAGTCGCAATTTTGTTAATGAATTGGAACTTTTTCAATTTCTTTATCGCGTGTGTAAATTTAAATCATATATGATCAATTTTTATGAAAAGACTTCCAGGTTTTTTTGTATATCATCAGAAAGGAGTACGATAATTTATCACATTACGTTCGAGAAGTTTAGGCATTTTTTATTTTCACAAAATTTAAATTTTTGAAAGAAAAGAAGCAATGCGGACCAATATGTTTTAAATAAAGCCGTGCATTCATTTTAGCAAATTAAAAATACTAACTTGTGTTAGTGTCATCGTGCGATTAAAAGAAGCTTCCTTGTTGTTAATTATTACATCGCGTAACCCACGTTACAGATACCAATCGCAATATGATTTGTTAATGTAATTATATATAAATATTAACAACATCATTCATCTCTAACAATATCAGAATTACTGATAAAGCAACTTATAATCTATAAAATATATTGGGTGTAAATTATTTGCTAATATCTACGAAATTTATAATTAGTATAAAACTTATCAATATACATATTGTTACGTCCGCGACGGTCACTGACGCTCTCACGCTAAACGCGCGTTCCGCGAGGAAGCCGCGCCCGGCAATAAACAACGCCGTTTAATAAAATACGTTGCTTCAAACGAATCAACAACAATAATTTAGCGGACATACGTCACGCGTTTGGCCACGAGTCACGCCGTATTTCTCGTAAACAACACAACCGTTGCCTCGAAGAGCGCTTTGCTTCTACTCCAAACTCGGCGGCTCGACTCCATTCGGCCGCAGAAGACTCGGGCGGGCATAACAATATATACAAATTTACAAATAGTGTAACTAGCATATGTGTTAATTGCTGAATTTAGTTATTGGGATTTTTTTTGCAGATTATAGCGACAATTTACAAGAAATATTAGTTTACAAAATGTTTTTAGCACATTAAATACGCTTATTTGTTAATCATCACGCAATAGATAGGTGGTACTTACCGATTAAATACCGATACTTTCTTTCTCAGGTCATATTGCGGAATCGATTCTGTTAATGCGAAACGAGCGTATCTCACGAGATATATCGAAAACGAGATGCAAATTAGATCATATCTTTTGTGCAATTTGTGCAAGCGCGATGCGTGCGTCTCAAGTAATAAGTAATTCTATTGTTGATGCAGAAATTGAAGATATGCCTTGGTTTCACACCTTCACTTAAAAAAAAGTTGATAGAAATAAAATCTGTATGTGTCATGAATTAATGTGATTAAATTGGTCTTTTCCTTAATTTTGAAATATATGTACATGTCTTCATTTGCATGAAAAATATAATGCAGAATACGAATACGCAAATTTATTTTTATTTTTTTATCGTCGTTTAATTATCTCATTGTGTGTAATTATTGTTTGCAGTTTTCATAGAATCAGAAGTTTGCAAGTTTTGCTATAATTTATGATTATTACTACAAAAATTAAATTATATTACTACAAAAATTAAAAATCTAATCAAAAAATTGTATTGCATATTTCTTAAATATCTTCTAACGGAATCATTTTATAATACTTTTATATTTGAACTTAAATATTACTTAATTTTAATTATAAGTTAAATCAGTTATTAAAAGTTAACATGCAAATTTATTTTATATTAGTTTTACGTTTTATGAATTAAAAGCCATCTTACACAGACGTAATGATTAAAATTAAAAACAATTAATTAGAAATCTGTTAAGGAGCAGAAGGTCAGCTGATACACATTTTAGATTTTTATATACCCGTATTTATTTGCCACTTGCGACTTATCGTTATATAAATCGTTATCGTTATATAAATATAACTTTCAACCGTTAATTCTATATGTGATTATTGTATTTATTTATAATATACCAGCGCATCGCGTCATGGCACTCTTATTTTGAAGAATATGGCCACGAAGTTATGGTATTGGCACGAATGCATTCACATTCTCTCAGGTACATTATTACACCAGAAAAAAAATTATTAACTAAACATTATAATAATTATCAAATTATCCATAACAAATTTTTACAATCGTGTAATTAAATCTATCTATTATTGCACGAAAACTATACTTATACTTTGAATTTTTAAGATTCTCAAAGGAGAATCTTATTTCCGATTTTATCTTAAATCCATTGTGAATCCCACAATTCATTTTGAAATATTTTATCTTTCACACTTTTTCTTATTTTTTTTTAAATCTTATTAATAAAAAGAATTTGAAATAAATAGAACAAGGAGACAATAGAACAATTTTAAATAAATAGAATAAGAATTTGTTTTGAGATATAATATGGCAACAATAGTCTAGGATGACTTATGTCGAAGTATAATCTACTTCATATTTTTTATGGCAATCATGCCACAGATATTAGCATGATACATCGCAGCTTCAAGTTAACCTTTGTCGTTATCACGTCACCATATCGTGACGTCGCTCAAACTTCGCACATATAACTTCTTGCAATGTTTCTTATCATCGCTTTTCCGTTCTCGCTGAGATTCCTTTGAGCTTCCCAGATTCCTTTCAGTGTTTCTGCTTATCGATTTCCCTAACTTTTCGCTGTTATCTTCAAAAACTCGTTGCTTATTAGATCTTGTTTCTCTTCCTTGCGCCACGACATCGTTGTCGTTGAATACAGAAGCTTTCCTCCTTCTCGAAACGTCCTTCAAAAATTTGTTCATTATAATTTCGTCAGACGCGCAATCGATTTTATCCCGCCACTCATCATCCTCGTTCGGCAAGGACCAGAAGGAAGACGAATTTACGTTTCTTTTACGAATCAGATTCCTGCGTTTTGTCATGGAGCTCGTCCTGAAAGCGTTTGTGCGATTCCTGTCGCGTTCAATTTGCAGATATCCTGTGGAAATCCGATTATTCGTGATGTCATCCTCCTCGTCTTGCCAGCAGTCGCTTTCCTCGAAAGTCGAGCTCGTCGAGTGCTCGAAGCTAGCGAATTCTTCGAAATCCTTCTCGGAACGATTCAAGTTCGTTGGCGGATCGCAACTTTCCGAACGATCAACATTAGAATCGCGATTCATCGATCTCTCCGTTTCGACGAGGTCGCGATCACTCTCGGTGTCAAGAGCGGGCGCAGCTTCCGGCAGGATCGGCCTCAATCGGATCCTCCTGTAGTTCGGAATCCTCCTACCGTCGATCCTCCTGCTCCTCTTGATCCCGCCGAAAGTCTGAAACTTCAATTTCGCGAACTGCGAACTTTCAACCTCCGGGCTACGGTCCGCGAACGAGTCCTCCGGCGAGACCGACTCGTCCTCGAGATCGTCGTCGGGATCCTCCACCTTCTTCAGCTGGATCCTGATGCCACCGAACGTGTGGTATTTGTATCCGCCAGTGGTCCAGAACCTTCTGCCGCCGATCGACGATATCTGCCCGTTGCCGTCGGAATGATCGTTGTCCGGCACTCGGTACAAACGTCGCCAGCGATCGCGCTCGCTGTTCTCCGAGTCGCGAGAGCCGATCGAGCACATCCCGGAGTCGTAATCGCCCGGATCGCGATCGTCCCGCTCGTCCTCGTGCGACCTCGTGCGATTGTCGTATCGGGGCACTATCGGTTCCTCGTCCTCGCGATCGTTCCAGGATCGATTCCAATCCGCCGACACTGAAGGACTTCTCCGGAAGTCCGTGTCTACTTCCGGACTTTGCGCTCCGTCGTCATCGTCCTCCTCCCCTTCAAAAATCGTTCCTACATCCATGAAATTTTTCGAGCCGCGATCGTCTCTCGCGTCATCCCTCCTCGGGACGCTTTTCCTCTCCTCGGGACGCGCCGTTCGCACGTCGTTTCCGTTCGTCACGAGATTCTCGACTCGCTCGCCGTCACCGCGGCGCGACCGATCGCTCGCGGATTCCAGATGCAGAAGAGGGTTGATCGCGAAGTGCGGACTGGCGCGGGGGTCGCGACAGCATCGTCTAGGGAGGCTGCCGCGCAGCGAGGCGGCTTCGAATCGCTCGAGCTCGCGGTGACTCACCTGTCGTTCGCGTTGCTCGTCGCCGGCGCAGCTCGATTGCTGGGACAGCGAGCTGCTCGGTCTGCTCGACATCGAGGACATCGACCTGGCCCGCTCCTGCCGCTCCCCACTGGCTGCCTTCGACTGATTGATGTAGTAATCTCTGCCGAATCTATAACCGATAAAATTTCATCATTAGCATCACGGAGATTTACAAATGGAAAATGATCGTCACTTGTGTTTCTTTCCTCAATTTTCTTAATCGACCTTTCTCAACGTTTTAGATAATTTTTAATCAAAGATTTTAATAAATAAAATATTTTTTATTTTTTGCTGAAGATGATAAAAAAATTGACCGAAATGTTCAAGACTTATTAAATTAAGTTTTGTTAGAAAATTAATGTGTAACGCCCTTCTTACTATGCTTGTTATTTGTATTAATATAAAAAAATTATTAAGGAAAATAACTTGCTTGAATTTTCTTCTTGTATCGCAATGTTAATTATTGCCTTTATTATTCCGAGAAGATAAAATTACCGTTTGATATCTGGGCGTTCGGGTGTCAGGAGTGCCTCCAGATTCGCTTCGTTCAGCTTTGTTAATTCGTAATGGACTCTGAACAGAATGAGAGATTGTGCTGAAAGTTTCGCAGAAACTCCACAATAGGATATTGCAACATTTCTCACGCGATTCTTACCCTGGGATGTCCGAATTTCTCGAATATTGCCTCTCCAAGCATCGTTTTCGTATGCTCTCCTCACTATAGGGATTATTTTCAATCGGCGGTGCGTTTTCCCACTTTTTGTGCTCACGTTCTGCTATTGTGCCTGTCCGATACATTTATTCATTGTCATCGCGATATGTTTGTCATGATAAATGAATATTTCATTACACTCATGAATCTTTTTGCATTTTTTTGTAGGAGTCACAAGTCGAATTTTTTTAAGTATTTCTTAAGATTTTATTTTTTTTGTATGCCTATTGTATTGTAAAGGAACACAAAAACAATTAATATATTATGCTATAAAACTTTTTTTCGCGTTCGATTTTCATTTTTATTGTAAGTTGCACAACTTCTTTATACACGTGTGTGTGTGTGTGTGTATATATATATATATATATATATTTATTATCTCTTCTATGAATTTATATTTAATATTAATAAAATACTTCATGTAAAAAATTACATCAGAAAAATAAAATAGAATTTTTCATTCTCTTACTCAATTAAAAAAAAAATATATATATATATGAAGATGTAGAAAATTTTGACGTGTACAAATATATTGTGAATAAGTTAGTAAGTACCTGGTCGTGGTGGGGCGCTTAATGGATCATTTTCACTTGTCATGTCATGATTCCCGTCGATCGTTGCATAAGACAATTGGACTTCGGTTTCTGAGCGTTTGCTGCATAAAAATAGAAAAAGAATTAAGAAAACGGCATAACATGTCCCGCAGAAAACGATAGACAGAATTACATAACAGAATATGGAACTCATGCAATAGGAAACTAGTTGTGTAGGAAACTAGAACTATTATTAGAGAGATATAGAACTATTATCGCTTATTATCTTATCATTCATTTCAAAATCCGTGCAAGGAACTTCGTTTCATTTATATTATATCCTTTTAAACATAAAAATCCAAAAATTAAAAAGAAATCAAGATTAAAAAGATGGAAGTCAAGAACATTAAAAACAAATTTGAACAATGCACACTTATGTAAATTAAAATATATATAATTAAATCGATAAATATTAAAATAAAGTTTTATTTATTATAAATTTAAAAGATAAGCTATAATTCTATTCTTCTGCTCTAAAGCAATAAAAAGACATAAATAATTAAGAAGTAAAATTATATATCAGTTAATCAGTAAAAAAATATTTCAAGACTTCTACCCTTGCCTTTGTTCATCGGTCGAGTTGTTCTCCGATTTCCTCAGCTGTTCATCTGTTGTTTTTCTCGTTCGGTCGACCATCTCGCTCTCTCCAGAGTAAACTTCGACTTTCGTCAAGCTGTCTAAGTGTCTCTGGATCGCCGTGTCGTAGTGTTCGGTATATTCGCTCTCTCGTTGCTCTTCGTTTTCGTCGATGTTTTCCCCTCGATCACTCCTCTCACTTGATTTTTCAGGCGTCTTTGCTTCCTTTTGCGCAGAACTTTCCACCATGATTGCAATCGTCTTTTCATCTATCTTCTTAGTTTCCTCTTTGGCTTTGTCTTCTTCTTTTGCCATTGTTATCGAGGCAGACGATTTTTCATTCTGTTTTCCTTTATCATCTTCATATTTGACTGGTTTTTCTTCCGAAATTTCCGAAGACTTCAAATGTTCCTCACGATTTTTCCCGTTCAAATACTCGCCGACAATCACTCGTTCGTTCGTTTTAGTTTTTGTCTCCGTCACTTGGCAGGTATCGACTTCGTCCCTCTCGAGCTGCGTTGCGATGTCCGTTTCTTCCTGATTGCAATCCGTATAGTTACTTGCCGTTTCGCATTCGGAGATCCTGGGCGTTCTCGGGATCACGTTATTGATCGCCTCCATCAGTTCCTTTTCGATCTCCTCATCGGACTTCGTAGACGAGCATTCGGACAAATCGGATGTATCCTCGGCATCTCTATCGCCGATCAGAGCTTTGTAATCGGCGTTAGAGCTCGGTACCAACATGGCGACCGCGTCCGGTTGCGATCGGGAGGTCTTTCTCTTCTGAAACAGCCAATTGTCCTCCCAGGACTCGATGGGCGAGACTATGTCCATTGTGCAAGTGGCGGCGTGACGTTTCGTCCTGACAGGTGGATACTCGTTGTGATTTAAGTCCGAGGAATCCGACGCTGATGACGGCGACGGCGAGGGCAATTCTCGCGGAGCTGTTATGGATATCGTAAAAAAGTTGCAAAGAAGGAATGATTACTTCCGTAATGTACGATAAAGATAGAATTTATTTCGTGCCGGAAATATGCGAGACATATATTATTTTCTACGTCTTTTTAACGAGAAGAATATCAGACGTGAATTGGACAATCGGAACATCGAGATAGCTCTTACGAGTGAAGTGAGGATTTTACTGAATTGAAGAGTTTGAAGATATTAATTGAGATATGGCGCAGCCGTATTTCATTCCATAGGCGAGTCCACGTATTTTTTTTCAATATGTAAATGACATTCGAAGAGTGAAAGTCGAGATACTTACGGTCAACGATGTCCATTCCGTATTCCGGAAACGGGATGCGCCGAGCGCATCCGAACTCCAAGGCGTCGTTGTCTCGAGGCTCGTCATCGTCCGAAGTGATCGTGGTCACTTCCTCTATCCTTTCCTCCATCTGCAATAAGATTCCGATCCCCCTCAGAAAGTACGAAAAATAACGACGCGATTTTATCGTTATTACGCCGATTACGTTACGTCGTCGTCGTCGAAGAATTCAAGTCCGATATGCAAATTTTCAGGTTCATCTCTTTATTGCTTTTAGTAGCGGGACGTTTCGCGCCGCGATAATATGCGATAATACGCGAGAATATGTTAATGCAATCGTAATCGACGGCCGTACCATAAAGGACACCGGTTCCCGACGATCTTCATTCCGTCCGATCGACGCGCCGTTGGACCCAAGACGATCGGACGCGTAACACGCCGCATCTTCCTCGAGGCCATGTTCGCTCTCGTCTAAAAAAGAAGCATTATGGAAATTAAGGAAACTGACGAATCTTTTTGAGAATTTACGTCACTGAAGATGGCTTGAAAATAAATATCGAAATGTTTGTATTACACTGAACTCTTATGTTGGGAGAATTACATATATCGACACAATTTTTTTGAGAATTTTTTTTTTAAATTAATTATTGCGCCGTACACTTTTAGTTGTCCTGTCTAAAAAGTTGATTAATTTATTTAGATTTATTTAAATTTAAGAGAGTCCTTTGAAAGAACTTCGAGCACTTGAAAAGGAAGCATCGTCCTCGTAAATGTAACGTTTTCACGCTTCGCGCGCGATAACACGTTAAGTAAATTCTACGTACTTGCGGTACACTTTGCCTTAGGTGAATCTGTGTCGTGTAGAACGTTACTATTACCATCCACCCGTTCTCTTTGGTATCTTTCGATGACCTAAAACGTGAATTTAAACATATTTAATTTAAATTCAGCACTTTGTAGTCTAATTGGTAGCAATTAACATAAAAAGCACGGTGCTTAATTTTTCATAATGAGTTTAAATAGATTTTAATTGATATTTAATGCAGAGAACACAGTTGTTTATTGCCATGTTAATTAATTTTAGAATGATTGACAGAATGTACTTTTTTTCATTATTATTAAATTTTGGAAATATTAGGATATATCGTGATCATTCGTAAGAGCCTGCGTACAATGGAGGAACAGAAATAAATATTAAATTTGGAAATAAAAATTAGGAACCGAGATTAAACGTAATGTAAAATAGACACAAATAGATATAAGATATATATCTTAACTTGCTTGTGACTATTTTGTATTACTCTATTTCTAAGTTTTATTTCCAAAATTTCATCTTTATTCTTGTTCCTGACTCCTGTTCTTCCATTGTATGCAAGGTCTAATTAAATCTATTGTACTTTTCCAGTCTCATATATTTAAATAACCTTATTGAGTATCGCGGTGGCGAGGAGATCCTCGTAGCTATTATCCGCGACGGCGCGTCCTTCTCGAGGACGCTCGGCATCCGCGGATGTGCTCAATCCGGGTAATTTCCGTGCTTCCTCCACGGCTCGCTCGACGATCTCTCGAAGAGCCGCGTGCGCCATAGCTGGTGGATCCGTGGATGGTTTGTCTGAAACATCGAGATCGGAAGACTTTCTTTGAGACCAATCTCGTTAACATATCGATAATGAAAGGATAGTCTGGTCAACGTCTAATAACTATAAAAGTAGAATTTTAAATCGTCGAGTAAGAAATGTATTGAATAAATATTTAATATCGCTCTCTTCTCTATAAACCTTCTAATCCTCTAATATAGATTAAATTACTTATTAATCTCGATTTCACTTATTCTTTATCTCTGTCTAATTCTTAGAACTAAAAAAAATAAAAATAAATTGCATCGAGATTCAAGATAATTTACACGAATAAAAAGAAATATAAATATTTCTTAAGTATCAGAAACTTTGCGCACTGCAATGATGAGTCTGCCGGATTTTGGCCACAAAGCGTGGTCGTGTTTCTTCCATTTGTGGCCTAATAATCTACAGTCATTATTAATGCAAAGCCTACGGAAGAACGTACGATAAGAACGTCGTCCCCATTCGAGAAGGCGAAATCCTCGCTCGATTAAAATATTAAATACGATTTCTCTAATCTTCTTTTAGAACTATTTTCTACTCTTCGTGTACTCCCACTGGGTTCTTGAGTGTTATCGATTCGCGTTCGCCTCGGCAATTTCATCGATCGATCGCGGTTTCCGCAGAGTGACTGGCGGACAGTCTGTCGTGAACGAACGAGCGCATCTTGCGAAGTAAAACGGGATACAGCGAATGCGAGTCGCACCGCACTTTCTTCGCCATGATCGAGTCATGGTAGTCGAGGTAACGGCCGATACCAGACGGCACTCACGAATACACCGGCCGCTTCTTCACGGTAATTTCTCCGACGCGACCTTGCCGATGATGCATCCTTACGGCGGCCACTCCTCTCATCGACAACTCTCGCAGCTTCATCCCGTCTCTTCCCCATCTCTCTGTCTCCTTTTCTCTCTTTCCTTCTTTCGCGCATCTTGTCCGCTGCGGATTGCGGCCGCCAGGTGAAATTCACCGACCTCCTGAACTCTTTCCACGGGAAACTCGAGGTCTCTGCAATTTTTACTCCGCCTGCATTTTCACCCAAGGTTTTTGTGCGTGGGTAGAATTACAATAACTAATGACGATCTCAATTTGGCAAAGTTTTAAATTAAGCGTGCCTCTAGAATTCCACATTTTGAACTCTCATCGGTTAAAATAAATCATTTCTTTGAACTCAACTGATTAATCCATATAAGGAGGAATATTTCTGAATATTCTCACAAATTGTAAAAATTTAGATATAAATCAAGAGAAAAGTTTCTTTCAAATACCGTGTATTTCGAACTTTGCCATTAGAAAATTTTAATCCGATAACTGAAAAATCACCAAAAGAAGGTCTTTTATTTTTCTTTCTATGATTTTGATTCTCGAATGGTAAATTTCGATTCAAAATTTTCTTTTTTTAAAATCTATTTTTAAAAATCTATTTTAAAATTTTTTAATTTTCTTTTAATTCTCTTTTGAAGAATCTTAAGTAATTATCTAAAAATTTACCATTCAACAAAATAGAAAATATTGGCTATTGTGACTCTTGGGTTTCTCGTAACTTTCTCCATGAAATAAAATCGTTTTTCTAAGAAAATATATACTGAATAGTACGCAAGAAATCTTTTAAGACGACACGTATGTGTATTGCTCGCACACCCGTGTAGATGATTAATAATCCTCAAGGGTAATACTGGGCTATTCGCAAATAAACACATCGCGTGCTAAGCGCGAACGTCTCTCCTCTTTCTTTTCGTCCTCCCTTTCCTCTCCTTCTTTCTCTTTCTCCGTATAACGTATGTATCTCAGACAGACAGTTCTTACATACACATAATCGAGAATCTACCTTGTCGGAGACATCCAGCCTTGATCTCACGCCGTAGAAGGTGAAGGCCGACTACAGGTATTTTGCGCGCGATCTGGCCGCCTCAAACATTAGTCGTATTATTAGCCGGCATGTAGAAGAAGTTTCTTTAGCAGGCAAAATCGCCTCCTCTCTCGACATCTATTAATGACGGTAAAGCCAGTAACACCGCCACCGGCCTTCGATCGATCTTTTACTTTCCTCATACGATTACATTAAACGACATGTCGCGGCGGCGTGACGTAGACGAATAATAATTGCGCATAATTAATCCACGATAATCGAGTCTTCCTTCGATGATTGAAGGGAAAAAACGAGGCACGATTGGTTCACGTGATTGCGATTGAACGTGTAATCTACGTAGGAAGAAAAGTGTCAATGCAACCTTCGAGATCATTGGCGCGCGCCAATAAATCAAAATGATTAATTGGATAACGTAACCTGAGGGCTTGCATGAATTTTATAATATGATAAATTTTTATTTTGCCGGCCTAGAACGTCGGTTAATTCTCCCTATAACTTTCCCGTTGTGATAGACTTGATTTCGACTGGGGAAAAATTAGAAGATGGCGAATGACTTTGGAATTTCCTGTTCGTTTCATTTTACAAACGGATCGGATTTAAAGAGACCGACGCTCCGTCGACTTTCTCACGGCGCCGACGTCAATTATCGCGCTATCGAGACAATAACCAAATAAAAATTTGGTTTACAGATGGAGACTTTCCCATTTATATGCGAATAATTCGGTAGGAGCATTCCGTCTGAGGCTCGCGGTAACGAGCCTGTTTTACGTGGGAAACCCATTCCTGTCGGAGAAACTCAACGTTTATTCAGTACGACAGCTTAATATAGCGCGCGTAAGAGAAAAAGAGAGGGAGAGAGAGAAAAATCCGGATAACGGAAGTCGTAAAACCGTTGCGCCAAGGCATTCCCTTTTTCGTCTTCCGTCAATCTCGACGTTACAAATGGTCGATCGCACTCGAACGTCTCGAGATGAAGGTTACTGGACCAGTTTTGCGCGCGGAGAGAACGGCGATATCTCGCGAGAGGATGCGCGCTACGACGAGATTTTCGTGCGAAAGTTCGGAGACTGCTGATGTACAATGAACGAGAGAAAGAGAAAAATTCGTAAGAAGTGCCTCAGTGGGAATAACACACGGTTTGGAATAGGAAAGTGGCATGTAATATAATATTAAAGTAAGAATAAAGTAGAATATGCATACATAGAGAGGGAGTGAAAAGTGTGGAATTAAATATTAAAATATCTCTTTCTCTTGCAATTTTCGTCATTTGCTTTCTGTAGAAAAGAAATAATTGAATGATTAAGTGTACGCAATGAAGCCTTTCTCTATTTATGGAGGAGAGAAGCAACGGCTCCTTTTTTTATGGCTCCTGTAAATCGCTTCCAAGAATAGGAAAAGGATCATCGAATCATTGCTTTTCTTCTTACAACAAGTGATGACCATTGCTGTTATCTGCTTATCCACCGTCAAGTTGTTTGAGAGATAAGAAGATAAGCAGGTGGAATTACTTACGAGAGGAAAGATTATAGTATATTAGTGCGACGCAATTTCTATTGTAAAAAACACTGATAAAACAGTATATTGAGATAGTAAAAATTGATCAAACCAAATATAGATGATAATTATTTATTATGATAAATAATCTAGCGAAATTGATGGCAATCTTTTTTTCTATTTTTAAACGTGTATTCCTAAAAGATAAGTATTGAAACTTCGTTGAAACAACAGACATGGCAAAACTTGAGAGACATCAGATTTAGTAGAATATATTGAATACGTTTAAAAGAAATAAGTGTTATTTTTAGCATTTAGGTATTTACCATTTTTCCTTAAGATCAGAACGTAGACGAAATAGGCGACGATCAGACCACCGATCAACGTCAACATCTCTTCGGCTGTTTGCAGTTGCATTAATTGCACCTTTCACATCGTATAATCGGCTAATGCGATTAATTTGTCTCTCCTAATCTTTTCTATTCTTTTCGTCTTCCTCGCGAAAGCTCAGAACTGAGTCGGACACTTATATACACATACACACTTATGCGCACATACGCATATACGTTTATCAGCGGCGTTGCAATTTACTCGTTGTGTTTCACCACTTTTCATGAGCGCGAGACCTTTGATAAGAATAAGCTCTTCTTACGTCACTTGCAATTTTTAGAATTATTTCGAAATTAAAATTTTTTTTTTTTAATGAAAAATGTGACGATGCCCCGAGAATTCGTAATGAAAAATAGTCGAAATTCTGAACGAAGTTTCTCATACATTCCATACACAGTTCAGTTCGCCAAGACAATTCTGTAGTTTATGTGTATGGAAAAAAATCATTTTGCTGAAGTAGCTAAAAATTCGACTGAATACAAATTTGAAAATGATTTTATTGAGCCGCCAAAGCAGTTATGTGGGATGTTTACGCTACAAAAATTTTTTTATATTTTGATAACAAATTTGAATGTCCTACATAATCATTTTGATGGGCCAACAAAATCATTTTATCTGTGTTTGATCAAACTTTTAGATACATCAGTAAAACTGTTTTTTATATGTGTAAGAGACAAATACTTTTATATTTTTATTTTAAAAAGTGGCTAATTTAAAAAGCAATGTTTCTCGATTTTAGAAAAACCATAAAATAAATCTCGCTTTCATTTAGATGTGATAATTAATTTTGTGTCTCGATGATACGCATTATCCATCGCATTATATATCAGAGATAATCGGAATGATTACGGAATACGATCACAATTAATCATGTCAAGTTGTTCTATATGATATATATGTTGATTTCCGAAGCTCATACATGTGCGCGATGACGTAATTTTTTTCCAAAGCAATTCCTTAAGTACTCATTTGCATGGCAAATGTTGAGGCAATGAAGCGTAGTCGACATTCGAACTTTGAGATTCCTTCCGCGCTTTTCATTTTTTTCTAAAGATGACGCGGTTGAAGGCTAGATGACGAACATCATGATCGAGCATATCACGTTTTCCGATGTTCCCCGCGTGCGTGACTTTGGTTCTCCTACGCCAAATAAACGCACCTCGCACGGAAATATTACATAAATACCATTACATAAAGTCTTAACCCAAAAAGAAGGTAAGTCTTCACGATAACCAAATT